TAACCACAGAACAGTGAGGTCACCCTGAGCTGAGTGGTGGTAACCACAGAACAGTGAGGTCACCCTGAGCTGAGTGGTGATAACCACAGAACAGTGAGGTCACCCTGAGCTGAGTGGTGATAGCCACAGAACAGTGAGGTCACCCTGAGCTGAGTGGTGGTAACCACAGTAAAGTGAGGTCACACTGAGCTGAGTGGTGATAGCCACAGAACAGTGAGGTCACCCTGAGCTGAGTGGTGGTAACCACAGAACAGTTAGGTCACCCTGAGTGGTAACCACAGAACAGTGAGGTCACCCTGAGTGGTAACCACAGAACAGTGAGGTCACCCTGAGTGATGGTAACCACAGAACAGTGAGGTCACTATGAGTGGTTGTTACCACAGAACAGTGAGGTCCCCTCAGTGGTAATCACAGAACAGTGAGGTCACACTGAGTGGTAACAGGCAGTGATACCAGTCTGAGTGGACAACGACAATACAGTGAAGTGAACCTCGAGTGTTGGTCACCACAGAACTATGAAGTTACCATGAGTGGGGTTACAGAACAGTTTGGGTAACAAGCAGTAAGTAAACATAGAACAGTCAGATTACCCGAAGTGTTTACAACATAACAGTGAGTCCAGTCCGAGTAGCATCAGAACTGTGAAGTTGCCATGTATGGGATCACAGAACGGTCTGGCCACCCTAGGCCTAAGCACTAAAACTAGAAAAGTCAGGTTATATTACCTCGAGTTGTTAACCACAGAACGTTAACAATTGTGTCATTTACGAAATTCACAGATGAACAGTTACCGAAATGAATAAAGGTTGGTTATCATATCTAACACAGGTTGTTTAAATTTATAAAGATGTGAGGTTTATCGAGTTAACATGTGATTCAACAGTATGAAGTTTATATATACTCACCATGTCATAGACATTCACAACAATTGGTTCTCTTGCCATATCTGCCGTTTTGGAATCTCCTGAGATTAATATTAACAATAATTTGAGCTACTTTGCCGTTGGTATGTTTTTGTATTATGTAGCTAGTTCCAACATATAAATAATATGTCAAAACGAAGGAAACAGCAAACACATGATGTACGAGTGAAATTAGTCCTAACGCGTGGTAAAGCTATGTAAATGTAACTACATTGTATTATAATCAGGGGAAAGAGATAGTCCCCTTGTCAACGATGAGTCATTCACTCTGTTCTTTACGCACTGTCAAATTATCTGTTCCTCAGACACGATATATCATCTTAATTATAAACACAATGTGTTAAAACACATGGTCGTGACAAACAGTTTACAGCTACTGTATTGATATTCATGATAAAGTGGAAGATTTCCCAAACGGTAAAAACAAACCGTGCCTGTCCATATTGAAACGGAAGCTGAGAGACAGATGCTCGTGTGTTATACGTCATCGATCACTAAAATTGATGACGTAGTCCACATTCCGTCATCTGCAAAATGGCAACAACAAGGTGCTTCGGAGGTCTCTATCGGTGTTTAACGAAAGTTCCGCGATCCACGCGATCTATCAGATGCATACATTCGGCTGCTGTTTTGAGGACTTCGGTTAGTATATAGAACATCACACTTAAAATGGACATACTCAAATATAGGCATACTTAGGTGTTATTATCGTGTAATTATTGAATTAGATGCTAATTCAGAGTAATTTCCCCTTGTTTTGACTTTCCCAAACATGCTACAAGTCAATGCCAAAGGTGGAATCGATTTGTCGCAATGTTTTAAAGTATAATCGGTAACGAAAGATTAAATAAATCATTATTACAAATTCAAAACATTATTTGGTTGCTGTAATTTGGAAAAATGCACTATTAAAAGAAATGATGTAAACAGGTCCAGTACACTGACTGCCGTTTGAGCTATATAGCTATAAAGACCTATATAGCTATATTCACCTATAAATTATAGCTATATTGAGCTATAATTTCTCAGATTTCAATTTTCATTAAATTAAAGCAAAGTCGCATAAAACAATAAGGTTTACGGTAATGTTGACTACAAAAAGCATACATTTAGATGTTTATTTTCATTTTTCATAAATGTTAAATTTTCAAGTTTTTTACATCATTATTTTTTAAAAAGAATGCTTATATTTAATGTCTTTTGTTATCTACCTAATGATAAAATCTTCTTTTAAAAGCGACTTTGTTTCGTTTTCCTTAAAAAAGGAAATCACATGAAAATAGCTCAAAAGACCTATTTCAGATAGGTTAATAGAGCTATTATAGGTCTTTACAGCTATATAGCTCAATCGGCAGAGTGTACTGGACCTGGTAAATCCACCATCGATGTTAACGTTATAACTTTTTAAACAGCATCAAAGAAGTAGGACACTGGTGAAATAACTTTTAAAATGCCAGAATAATAGCATTAGTTTTAAACTTAAGTTGAGCCCTGAATGTCATAAAACACAAGAATCAGTTGTTATAGACAATTACACAAGTGATATAAAGTACAATGTACTAACAAATACCCGGCTCAATATATAAAAAAAATCTCTCGTCATCAGAAAGCTACGTTATTGCAGCTACAGTGACATACAGTTCAGTTCTGAAACATGAACTAATTTGTGTATCAATTATAAGTTCTAAATTTGGTGATGAATCTGTGTTGCTTCAAGTGAAACTGTCAGAGCTAGGCATTCAGTAACTCAATAATCGTCGGTATCGACGGAGGAAGTCTTAACAGATGAAGATGAAGATTGGATGGTCTGTTTTTAAAGGGAGTTCAAATTATTTCTCACTCACTTATACAGCCACAACAAAAGTTGCCTTCATTAGCGGAAGGTTTCAAATTAATCCATTTTAAAAACTTGAAGATTAGTCCTGAAGAAGCCCACTGTTTGGGCGAAACCGGTAGACATACCCAATAAATAAGATTCAACTTATCCTGAGCTTGTTGCGATTGACTCTTACGCTTATTTTCCTATTCTTCAATCGCCCTGCATACTGGTTGGTATCCAGGCAAGGGATAACGGAACCTACCGAACCTGAACTACAATAACGGCGTTGGGTCTACTCCTGGATCGATGTTGAAGATTAGAAGATGTTTCATATCCTTGTATAAGAAATTTTAACATGGCTTATTCCAAGCTATATTGAAGAAGCATTTAATAGGTTTTACTCCACAGTATCATGTTACCCATTTGTAAAGCAGAGCAGATTGGTATTTTTGCAGTAAAATGTCTTGTTTGAGTACAAAACAATTATTATGCAATGTTTTATTTGTTTTTCACAGGAAAATGATAGACCTAATTTTCCAGGGTCTCGATCAAAATTTATTCACAAGTGTGAGTTCATTGTCCCAGAAAATGCTGAAGGCATCCCTGTCTACAGAGTGTTGAGAAATGGAGATATTATTTCTGAATCAGAAGATCCAAAAGTAAGTGACTGCTGGAACAATACAAATTTTGCCCATTACAATTTTGCCCCTCATTATGCTGAGATATTCAGAACATATTCCTCAAATGTTGAATTTGCTCTGACCCCCATTAAAGTCTAGCGTCTTTAAGAATGATAAAATATTCAACCCAAAATTGATATTGCCATTTGATCAAAAGCAGATCATAAAACATGGAGGAAGCTGTACATTGTATTTCAAAATTTTATATAAATGCAGATAAGGTTCTTTTCCTATAAAATAACCAAACATATTTGGTTAGTAAACTTTGAGCTTCAAGAAATGACTATTTGTAATTTTAAGAAAATAGTTTAGAATTTGAATGAAAGTCCATATGTTTTCATTTCAAAGAGTTTAAAACAATTAAGGTAAAAAACTTAAATCTGAGGAAATATTTAAAAGTTTCACAATGTTTTCTAAACTTTTTTTCTTTCTTAATTAATTAAAACATTTTGCATCCAATTTCACAAAGTGTTATTTATCATAAGTATTAATGGACATGTTTCAAAAAAATATGTGAAAAAGTTTCTAAAGCCTCTACATGTATTTACTATATAACACAGGATTAAGATTTTATTAGCCCACCATCATCTGATGGTGGGCTATTCAAATCACCCTGCATCCGTGGTCAGTCGTCTGTCCTTTCGTCCGTCGTCCGTCCTTAAATAATTCTTGTTATCGCTATTTCTCATGAAAGACAAGAGGGATCTTTCTCAAATTTTATATGTAGGTCCCCTTGGTCCCTAGCTGTGCAGGGAAATTTTTGAGACTGATCGGATAAACAACATGGCCGACAGGCATCCATCTTGGATTTTGATAGTGAAGGTTTGTTATCGCTATTTCTCTAGAAGTGCCTGTGGGATCTTTTTCAAATTTTATATGTATGTTCCCCTTGAGAATATTTTGCTATGACTGCTTAAATATTGAGGTGCACGATACAGGCCCTCTTGGGCCTCTATTTTTCATTTGAATTACATTGACCCACTTTCAAGGTCACATTTGGTCTAATATGTGTAAACATTTAAATGACCTAATGATAGGGTGGTGATATTTTGCAAGCTGCATCCTGAGATGAATGGCTAAATAACCTGTTCAACATAATGACCTTGTTTGACTTTAAAGGTCACAGGGATGAAATGTTTTAAAATATTTTAACAGGTTCTTTTCAAAGACTTTTAATCATAAATACTGATATTTTGCCCGTAGCTTTATTTTAGATCACTTTTAAGAATACATTTAGTGTGAGATTAATACCAGGTGAGCGATGCAGGTCCATTGGGCCTCTTGTTTATGTAGGTTCCCCTTGGTATGAAGTTATGCATATTTTCTTCCGAAACTGACCGAATAAACAAGCTTTGATTTTGACAGTTAAGGTTTGTTAGTGCTATTTCCCAGGAAGTACTGGAGGGTTCTTTCTCAAATTCTATATGCAGGTTCCCCACTATTCTTTATTGTTCAGGTTTACTTTTGAAACTGAGCAGTTAAACAGAATGGCCTACCAACAGCCATCTTCGTTTTTGATATTGAAGGTTTCTTAGTACTATTTCTCAGGAATAACTTGAGTGACCTTTCTCAAATTTGATATGTAGGTTCCCCTTGATCCCTCGTTGTGCATATTATATTTTGAGACTGATCATAAAAGTAAAATGGCTAAAGGAAAAACTAAACAGATCTTTCTCATATTGCAATGATAGATTCTATTTCTTTCACATTAAGTACTGTGCTAGTAAATATGTGAAATGACAAACTCACTTTGAAGGTTGGCTTTCATACACATCAGTATTAAGTTTAGATCAAAAGTTACCCCAAGGTGCATTTACTTTTAACATGACTCGATCAAACAGATTATAGAGGAAAGAAGAGAAAAGATCGAACTGACAAAGAACTAATGAAGATGGTATAATGGTGGGCACCAAGATCCCTCTGGGATCTCTACTATGATTATTACATATCTATACTCTATAATTTACATGATATTGTTTAGCTGGATAAAGACACAGTTGTGAAGATGTACAAAGATATGACGTTGTTAAACACAATGGATCACATCCTGTACGAATCTCAAAGACAAGGAAGAATATCTTTTTATATGACCAATTACGGAGAAGAAGGTACTCACATGGGATCGGCAGCAGCTCTTGACCCCAAAGACTTAGTGTATGGACAGTATAGAGAAGCAGGTGGGTCAACAACATGTTATATACTACTGTACCATAGAGATGGGCTGATGATCGATTATTATCGAAAATCAATCGGTTTGTCATTTCCGATTATGATTATTGATTACAAATTCCATTATCGATATAATTGGTTTTCATTAGAATCAAAGTGTGAAATGTTTTCAGTGTAAAAAATGTATTGAAAGTGATATATTCTTATGACATTTGCTATATGATTGATAAAACTGCATAAAAATTGCTTGAAATCCATTCATTATAAAATAATGAAACCTACTGCACACATGTAGTTAACAACCCGGTGTTTTGATGTCATGGTATAGTGGTCTTAACTTTATTTGGGTATTCAGTCTCATAAATTTATAAACTGGTTATGCAATCGTTCATCAATCGGTTTAATGCTTCCAATTCCAAACAGATTATAGATTGTGATTTTAAAACGATTACCCATCACTACTGTACCATCTTTTATCTTAATTCAATGCACTGTTGTCAACTTAACAATGACAATTTCATAAGTTTAACCTCAATGATGTCTATGATCTCTTTTTCATTGCTGTTCCTTTTCTACAGGTGTACTGGTGTGGAGGGGATTCACCTTGGACCAATTCATGGATCAGTGCTACGGCAACATGTATGATATGGGCAAAGGTCGCCAGATGCCAGTGCATTATGGGTCAAGTGACCACCATTTTGTTACAATTTCATCTCCATTAGCAACTCAAATGCCACAAGGTGAGGTTATCAGTCATTGGTCTATAAGCATTGATCTTGACCAACTTATTGCAGGATAAACATAGTATGAAACAGAGCTTTAAAAGAAAACTGATTAATTGCCTCTTATAGTGATATTATTTTTACTGTTTCTTAACACAATATCTTTGAAAAAATTAAGTGTTTCAAATTTATGAGATTTAGAAAGTTAGTTTTGACTTTTAAGTGGTCCTTCTTGTTTACAGCATCAGGAGCTGCCTATGCCTTCAAGCGGGCCAAGAATGGGTTGTGTGTGATCTGTTACTTTGGGGAGGGAGCTGCATCTGAGGGCGATGCCCATGCAGCGCTCAACTTTGCAGCGACATTGGATTGTCCCGTCATCTTCTTCTGGTATGCTGTGTTCCTGTTTACATACCTAGAATACAATTGTCAACCTAATATTTTAACAAGGAATGCACAAACTGTAAAATAAATGTGTGTTTTTACAGTGTGCTCAAACTGAGGCACAATATAAGCAAATATATTACCTTTTATTTTATTTTTAGAGAAAAAGAATATTCTTAAATATTACATGAATAACAAGCATGTGATATTCCATTTATTTTGTTTTGAGTACAGCCTTATTTTGACTTAACTACATGTATATATGAATTAAAGATTATTTGATTGAAATCTGTAAATCGAGTTCTTATACAATGTGAACCTTGTAATTAGCTGAGGTGAATAATACACTTTTTATCCCCCGCTTTCATCGAAACGGGAGATATTTCTATTGGTCTGTCTGTCTGTCTGTCCGTCTGAATGTCTGTCACACTTTGTTTCCGTGCAATAACTACAACAAATGTTAACCGATTTTCTTCAAACTTGGTCACAGGGTTAAATGCCTTAAGGACTTTGCCAAGTTCGATGACCACTTTCAGGGGACCCCATTTGGCAGAGTTATGTCCCCTTGAATAACGAAAAACGTAATTATCTGCTGGGTTTTGTTTTTGTGCAATAACTATAACAAATGTTAACCGATTTTCTTCAAACTTGGTTCGATTTTGATGAAAATTGGTATATAGGGATATTAGGGGACTGCGAACTCAACCGCATAGATTTCGTTGCCATAGCAACAACACAAAGGCTTCTGATTGGTTGCAATTAAGATATGTTCGATTTTGATGAAAATTGGTATCTTGGGGTATAAGGGGACTGCAAGTTCAACCACATTGGTTTCGTTGCCATAGCAACCAAATGGAGGCACTTCTGATTGGTCGAAATTTAGATATTTTTTTATTTTCATGAAAAATGGTATATAGGGGCATTAGGGGACTGCCATAAAACTGCATAAGTTTCGTTACCATAGCAACCACACTGAGGCTTATGAGTGGTCGAAATTTAGATATTGTTCGATTTTGATGAAAATTGGTATATAGGGGTATTAGGGGACTGCAAATTCAATCGCATACATTCTGTTGCCATAGCAACTACACTGAGGATTCTGATTGGTTGCAATTTAGAAATTGCTCAATTTCACTCAAATTTAGTATGTACATTGTAGGTGTACTATGGCATTACAATCCTTTTCTGATACATCTTTGCGACTATGGGGGCAGTTTGGGGGACATCTGTAATGGTTTCCCATTACAATTAGTACTTGTTGCTGTAGATATTGTTAAGGTGTTTCAACCAAATTCCTTATGCACATCCAACTCATGCTAAGTTTGCCAACCGATGTGATTTGTGCATATTTACGGATAATCAATGAGGTATACAGCTTTTTTTTCTTCTTCAAGTTTCAAGCTATACATTATGTCTCAACAGCACGATACAAACGTGTTTAAACCTAACCTCAATTATGTTAACCTACAATATGTCCTGCAAGCGGGGGATATAAATTCCACGAATTTGCTTGTTTACCTTGATATGGTAATTTCAGGGGAAGTTTTTTTTCTAAGATCGTTTTTTTTTTCAGTCGTAACAATGGGTATGCCATCTCTACTCCTGTTGAGGATCAATACCGAGGAGACGGTATAGGTAGGTTTAAAAATTAATGTAAGATATATTATATGTGAAAAAATTATATCAATTGTTTAAATTGAACATATCATTAATGTTAACAATTTGCTTGTGTAAAATTGTTCATTGCAGTTGTCATCCTAAAGAAAATTGAAAATTAAATCTATGTAATAGTAATGATGTTTGCAAGGGCTATTACTGTTGTCAATAGGATTGTATAGTTGAACAGTGTCAGAAAATTAACATTTTGATCCTGTCATTTTCACCTGTTAGCATCTCGGGGAGCTGGTTATGGTATGATGACAATCAGAGTGGATGGAAATGATGTCTTTGCTGTGTACAATGCCACGAAAGCTGCACGGGAAATCTGTGTGAATGAGAATAAACCTGTCCTCATAGAAGCCATGACATATCGGTAAGCTGTTTGCAAGGTCATGATGTACATGTAAATCCTAAGGGAGGTAACACGTTTCAAATAAGTTATTAGCGAGGTCATGATGTACTACTAAATATTAAGAGAGGTCATTATTTACGTCTATTCAGTTATTAAGTCTATAAAGAGGTCATGATGTAGGTATTTTCATCAAGGTGCTATGATATTAAGAAAGTTAAATAGCGTTTAGCAGTATATACCTGGTTTAAATATACATATGCTACGATATACTGTTAGATTTACCTGTATTTTCACTTTACATTATGATTACACAGGGTTGGTCAGCTTGACCTCTATTTTCACTTTACATTATGATTACACAGGGTTGGTCACCACAGTACTTCGGATGACAGCTCAATGTACCGGCAGCTGAACGAGGTCCAGTCGTGGGATGTACAAAGCCCAATCCTCCGTCTCCGACAGTATCTTGACAAACAGGGCTGGTGGGATGATAATCAGGAAATCCAGTGGAAAGAACAGTCGAAAAAAGATGTAAGCATTCTTAGAGGGAGAGAAACATAGAAGTTGCAAGATTGGTACTAAATTTGTAAATATGATTGTTGGTTTATTGAATCAGATTTGTGTAACTCAGAAGTTTTATCCAGTGTGAAACCATCTGAATGTCTTTTTTTTTTATTGATTGTTTGAAAATGCTGACTCTAAAATAATCTTATTTTCTCCAGATCATGGAAGCATTTGCCAAAGCAGAGAAAAGAAAAAGACCAAATCCAGAATTCTTGTTCACCGATGTTTACGACGATGTTCCCCCTCACTTACAAAAACAAATGGATGAAATGAAACAGCATGTCGCTAAATACCCACAACACTATCCTGTTGATGCTCACAACAAGATGAGTTCATGATCATGGGAACGTGTGAAAAGTGTTTTGTGCCAACTTTAGGACTCACCTGTGCATTCCATTCACATATTGTATAGCTAGGAAGCAGGCCCCCCCAGCAACACTTCGCACTGTGGCAGGATGGCTTTGGAGTAGAGAGCTTGTGATTTGAATATTTTTCATTTAGACTAATAGCAGGCAACATAAATCTGTAGACTGGAGACATATAACCAAGTGGGAAAACCAGTGTATCAACGTTCTGTTTTAGTCTACTTTTGGTTAACATTACAGATCTCTTTGTGAACACATATCCTAGAAAGTTTCATATACCTGGTAATAATATGCCCTGTTAACTCTGGCTCCTTTGTTGAGTATAAGAAATATAGTTGTGATATTAATAGAAATAATATGTATATTTATCATGGAGATTGATATAGACCTGGTAGATGAAATCAATTATTTCAACCAGGAATCTTCAGAGCATTTTGGGATTTCCAAAAAGAAATCTATTTATTTGTATTGTGAGGGTTTGGTTTGCTTGACCATATATGTATTTTTCTCCTATTTTACATTGTTACTTAGACTGTTGTATAATTAGACAGATTTATTTTTTTACATATAAGGTACCTTAAGGTCATATGCTACTTAACACTTGACGTGATGTTTTGTGTTTGTTATCTTCCTTAGAAACTCTTCATTATCATAATCCGCACTTGTGTTATAGAAGACAACCTTATTAAATGTTAAAGGTATTTTTAGTGTGGAACTCTTTTGTAAAGAAAATGCAATTGTAACATTAACAAAAGATAGCATATGTCCTTAAGTTTATTTAAGAAATTAAGCATATCATTTTATAAATGTGTAAGAGATTTTAGTGCTTGAAATCTTGATTCAAAACAATTTCAGTCGTCTTAAACATGTAGGTTGTAATTTGGTGATTTAACTTGTCCATGAATCAGATACCCTAAGAAATGAAACATATTGTTTGATTTAGATGGCATGTCAGAAAACACAGTTTTTATAACAAACAGGATTGCATTTTGTATATTGGATATGACAGAATGTCAGAATACTCAGGGTCAGATAAGACAGTTTGCTCTTTCCAAACTGTTTTACTCCAAAGTCAGTGAATCCAGAACATCTTACAACACTCTAACAGGTATCTTGTTTATCTATGTGGTCCCTATTGTTTGCCCTATTACAACATCCAAATATTCTTTCCTTGGGCCTAACAACAAATCAGAATGTTAAGTGGGTGTTGTTGTGCTTGTAATCAGATGTCATTTCTATGTATAGTAGTCCCCCATTATACTCGCAACTTGTGTCCCGTGCCAATTTGGCTGTATAAATTAAGGGAGTGGTGATAAACAAGGTTTCAGCACAACAGCCGAATGTATGACACATGTGCAGTAAAGTGTACACAAATATCTGAAACAAACACTGCATATACATACACATAAAATTATTTTGAAATGAATGAAAACAGATTATTTTAATCAATTGTAGCTTTTTAAGAGTTTTTAGTTAAAAAATTACAACTATAATTTACATTTGTATAATTCACTGATTTGTAACACAGTAATTATTATAACGGATTCGGAGCACAGACACATATTTTTGTTACAGGATTTGATAATATTTTGTACATATTGAAAAAAATGAATGATTTAACTTTATATTCTGTATCTTTAGTAAAACAATATGGCTATGAAGAAAATGAATGTGTTTCTCAGGCCAAAAGTGTATTACCATATTCATATAATATTACAAGTGTATTTGGTGTTATAGTTGTAGATTTAGCTAAATAATTGAAATCTATATATGAGCCATGTTTTGAAGAATGGAAGATTTTAGTGTGGAGATATACAATATACACTGTACCTGTAATTGAACAGGTAGAAATGTTAATTACTAAAATAATGGGGCAGTGAAACCTGCTATTAATAGTTTAGGTTGTCAACATGGATGTTAGGGTCATCCTCGATAAATATGTCAAATAGTGTGTGATTTTCTTCAGTTGTCAACCTGAATGTCATGATCTGAAAAGAGTTATTTAATCTATAACACTATACTAGTACACATTTGATATAGTGCCCTATTTAGCTAGGATACCACTCTGAGGTCCTTAAAATACATATACAATCAATACAGTAATCAGTACATTTAGAAGAGGTACCATATTAGGCGCCAACTCCTTGTTCCCCTCTATGTGTGTGTGCTCACATTTAGACAGGAGGCATGTTTGTGTTTCAGGCGAAACCATACTCCCAACGATATCTTTCTTCCATAGCATCGTGTCTTCCATGTTTTATATTACAGACACCGTAGCACACACCCCAGTTTATTTTATACTGCACCTGAGTTATTGGAAAATGTAATGCTATGAAGGGTTTGGGGATAAAACATGAAGGGTTTGGGGATAAAACCCTTGCTTTCGGTGTGGGAGGCTGGATGAAGTGTAATGCTATGAAGGGTTTGGGGATACGTCATGTAAACCTGTTCCATTATATATGTAGAAGATCTTCCTCTGAAAATGTACTGCTATGAAGGGTTTGGGGATAAAACATGAAGGGTTTGGGGATAAAACCCTTGCTTTCGGTGTGGGAGGCTAGATGAAGTGTTATGCTATGAAGGGTTTGGGGATACGTCATGTATACCTGTTCCATTACATATGAAGAAGATCTTCCTCTGAAAATGTAATGCTGTGAAGGGTTTGGGGGTTCATGTATACCTGTCCCATTATAAATAACCCCACAAATAGATTTATTTTCATTTTGGATTTAAAGCTTATTCCAACTATGCAGACAACAGGTTTTGTTTCTGAGTATGTGTGTTTTCTCAGTTGATTTTGTTGAATCAACTAGCTAGGACTAAGGTATTCCTGAGTGAATCATTATACAGTGTACATACATTTTGCATAAGCATTTGTTTTGTTTTGAGTGCATCAATATTTCACAATAAAGAAATATAACTAATGATTCCTTGTTTTTGTTTCTTTGAAAAAGAAGACAGCAACCTTGTCATTTTATTCAGTGATGAAACTGGTGCTGCAGTTTCCGATGGATCTAATCACAGGAAGGAATTGGTTGAGAGACTGAACATTATATTTTACTTTAAGCAACTTCTTCTTAATAACCAAAAGGCCTAGGGTGATGATATTTGACCAGAAGCAAACTTGGATGAAAGGCTACCAAGTTTGTTCAAATAAAAAGACCTTCACCTATTTTCAAGGTCACAGGGGTCAAATATGTTAAAAACTTTAAACAACTTCTGATTATTAACCAAAATGCCCAGAGTGATGATTTTTGGCTAGTAGCATGCTTGGATGAAGTGCTACCAAGTTTGTTCAAATGAATGACCTTCGACCATTTTCAAGGTCACAGGGGTCAATTGTATTAAGTAAGAGGCCCAATGGGCCTGCATCGCTCACCTGGTATCTCACACTTGTAATCTTAAAAGTGGACTAAAATACAGCTACAGGCAGAATATCAGTGTTTGATTCATAAGAACCTATTAAAAGATTTAAACATATGATGCCCATGACCTTGAATGTCGAAAAAGGACATCAGGTTGAAAGTGGATCAAGGTTATTCATTTGAACAATCTTGGTAGTCCTTCATCCCAGCATGCTACAGGCCTAATTTCAGTACCCTGGGCCTTTTGGTTATTGTGGAGAAGTCGTTTGAAGATTTTACGACATTTGACCGCTTTGACCTTGAAAGTTGGTCAAGGTCATTCATTTGAACAAACTTTGTAGCCCTTCATCTCAGCTTGCTACAGGTCAAATATCATCACCCAGGGCATTTTGGTTCTTGAGAAGAAGTTGTTCGAAGATTTTAAGACATTTGCCCCCTTTGACCTTGAAAGCTGGTCAAGGTCATTCATTTGAAAAAACCTGGTAGTCCTTAATCCCAGCATGTTAATGGCCAAATATCATCATCCTTAGCCTTTGAAGAGGTCGTTTAAAGGTTTTAAACATATTTGACCCCTGCAACCTTGAAAATGGGCGAAGGTCATTCATTTGAACAATCTTGGTAGTCCTTCATCCCAGCATGCTAAAGGCCTAATATCAGTACCCTGGACCTTTTGGTTATTGAGAAGAAGTGGTTTGAAGATTTTAAGACTTTTGACCCCTTTGACCTGGAAAGTTGGTCAAGGTTATTCATTTGAACAATGTTGGTAGTCATTCATCCCAGCATGCTACAGGTCCAATATCAGTGCCCTTATTGAGAAGAAGTTGTTTAAAGTAAAAAGTTGACGACGGACGGGCGCCGGACGCCGCACCATGGCATAAGCTCACTTGCCCTTCGGGCAGGTGAGCTAAAAACCTTGTGACTTTGCATATGGGCGAAGGTCATTCATTTGAAAAAACCTGGTAGTCCTTAATCCCAGCATGTTAATGGCCAAATATCATCATCCTTAGCCTTTGAAGAGGTCGTTTAAAGGTTTTAAACATATTTGACCCCTGTAATCTTTAATATATGTCGAGGTCATTCGTTTGAATAAACTTGGTAGTCCTTCATCCTAGCATGCTACTGGCCAAACAGCATCATCCTAGGACTTTTGGTTATTGAAAAGATGTTGTTTAAAGGTTTTAAACATATTTGACCATCGTGACCTTGAATAATTGTCAAAGTCATTCATTTTAACAAACTTGGTAGCTTCATTCCAGCATGCTACAGGCCAAATATTATAACCCTCAGCCTCTTGGTTATTGAGAAGAAGTAGTTTTAAAGGTTTTAAACATATTTGAACCCTGTGACCTTGAAAATGGGTAAAGGTCATTTGTTTGAACAAATTTGGTAGCCCTTCATCCCAGCATGCTAAAGGCCAAATATCATCACCCTAGGCCTCTTTGTTATTCAGAAGAAGTCGTTCAAAGGTTTTAACATATTTGACCCCTGTGACCTTGGATATCAGCGAAGTTCATTCATTCGAACATATTTGGTAGCCCTTCATCACAGCATCTAACTGGCAAAATATCATAACCCTAGGCCTCTTGCTGGTTCAGAAGAAGCTGTTTAAAGGTTTTAAACATATTTGACCCCTGCAACCTTGAAAATGGGCGAAGGTCATTTGTTTGAACAAACTTGGTAGCCCTTCACCCAAGCATGATACTGGCCAAATATCATCACCCTTAGCCTGTTAGTTACTGAGAAGACGTTGTTGAAAGGTATTTAACATATTTGACCCCTGTGACCTTGAAAATAGATGAAGGTCATTCATTTGAACAAACTTGGTAGCCCTTCATCCAAGCATGTTACTGGCCAACTATCATCATCCAAGGCCTTTTGGTAATTGAGAAGTTGTTTAAAGGTTTTTAACATGTTTGAACCCTGTGACCTTGAGAATTGATGAAGGTCATGCATTTGAACAAACTTTGTAGCCCTTCATCTCAGCATGCTACTGGCCAAATATCATCACCCTGTGCATTTTGGTTATTCAGAAGAAGTTGTTTAATGTTTTTAACATATTTGACCCCTGTGACCTTGAATATAAGTGAAGGTCATTCATTTAAACAAACTTGATAGCCCTTCATCCCAGTTTGCTTCTGGCCAAATATTGACACCCTTGGCATTTTGGTTATTCAGAAGAAGTTGTTGAAAGTAAAATATTGACGCCGGACAGACGCCGCGTCACGGCATAAGAGCTTTAAATGAAAATAAACATCTAAATGTATACTTTCTGTAGTCAGCATTACCATAAACCTTTTTGTTTTATGCGACTTTGCTTTAATTTAATGAAAATTGAAATCTGAGAAAATATAGCTCAATACAGCTCAATACAGCTATAATTTATAGGTGAATATAGCTATATAGGTCTTTACAGCTATATAGCTCAATCGGCAGAGTGTACTGGACCTGTATAAGTGAACTTACCTGATCAGTGCCTGTTACCTTTACTCAGCAGTGTGTGCTGTACAATATCTTTTTTGTATCACTGTGTTTAGTGACCAAGGGACAAATTACAGGTAGAACACAAACAAATATTTCCAAAGATTTTTTCTTTATTACCCTAAACTGATGTAAACTTGTACATACATGTGAAATTTCACAGGTATGAAGAGACACTTTTATTTAAATTGAATGCAAAAGTAAAATGACGACATGAAAAAGTGGTGGTTTTCATTTAAAACATTAGTGCCGAGTGAATGCCTCGATGCCAGACTTTTGACCAGTACATGTTCTCATGGCACCAAATTCTGTCCTTTGCATCAATATTTAAATTTCTAGATTTGTGTCAATAACTCTTAAGTTCAATATACAGTTCAGAAATGTAAGATAATTGCTACTTTCAGTAGAATCAACCGTCCTGGAACTACTTTCCATTTTTTATCTTGAATATCAAACATAATGAATGCAAAACTTACATGTGTTCTCATCAATAGATGAACATCTCTTAGGATGCTAGATTTCTAAAACAATAACAGAGTAACATTTTTTTTTTTTATCATTACCAGTATTGCAAAAAACAATTCCTGCAGAAAAATTCGTCAAAGTTGCTCCAATTTTTTTTAAGTACCTTTTACCTAAATAGTTCTATATAGTCAATCTCATTAAAATATCGAGAAATAGATTTACCATGAAAAAAAACCCCAAGAGGCCCAGGGGCCTTGATAGCTCACCTGGTATTTTATTTTTCAATTCAAAACCTGCCGAGTACCATTCAGGTTTATCAAAGGAGTACAAGAAACAAGGTTGCAAGAAGAACTACATACAAGAGGCCCAATGGGCCTGCATCGCTCACCTGTTATTAATCTAACACATGTAATCTTAAGATTTCATAAGAACCTATTAAAAGATTTAAACATATGACGCCTCTGACCTTGATTATTGAACAAGGACATTAGATTGAAAGTGGATCAAGGTCATTCATTTGAACTAACATGGTAGTCCTTCATCCCAGCATGCTACAGGCCCAATTTCAGTACCCTGGCCCTTTTGCTTATTGAAAAGAAGTCGCTTGAAGATTTTACAACATTTGACCCCTGTGACCTCGAAAGTTGGTCAAGGTCATTCATTTGAATAAACTTAATAGTCCTTCATCCTAGCATGCTACAGGCCCAATATCAGTACCCTGGGCCTTTTGGTTATTGAGAAGAAGTCGTTTGAAGATTTTAAGACAT